CATTGGTACCACCCTGGAGGCTTCCTATTCTGCCTGAGCCGTCCCTCATCAGGACATATATATATATATATATATATATACATACGCACATATAATCACACACATACTGTATATTGTATATGTAAAGTTGTATGAGAACCCAAGAGATTGGGGACACATTGTATTTAGTGATGTCAAATCGATTAATCGCGTCTAACAAAAGTTTGTTAATATATAACAAAGTTATATGTTAGATGCAATTAATCAATTTGGGTTCAATATCTTGGGTTCTCATACAACTTTATCAGGCGGTGGTTCAGTTTGTGATTGGAAAAAAAGCTTATAAAGACACCTGCACTTCCATAGTAATACTTGCTAATCCTCCTACTCCTCAAGTCACCATATAACCAGAGGTCTCACTCACAATAGCAAGCCCCGAAAAAATGTTCCTTTCTTTATAAAAAGTGTCTTAATCCGTGGTTGGTAATCAGTGGTTTAAATTGACCATTCAAACATTTGAACACGTTAAAGCCCTACCCCATCACGGGAAGACCTCTGAATGGTGGTTTCTGAATAGCGTTTCAGATCATTATAGGCTATATTATTCATTGCTTTCAATGTATAGGTCAAAGATGCTACACAGTCCCACGCTGGTCCAACGACATGCTGTTTTTCACTGATCAGATGACAAATCACCGTATACACCAAACTAATTGGATGAAGCTTAGTTCGAAGGAGTTAAACAAGGTTTTTTTTTTTAAAGAAAGAAAAGTTTTTACGAATGGCATCGACTTAACAACTGCCTTTGACAAGAAAAGACAGTAGGAAGCAGAGACAAGCGTAAGCCTCTTAATTTGCGTGAATAGTGAAAACAAGTTTGGGCATTAAAGCAGATTACATGGACACCTATGGAGGTGTTAAAGCTTTAAATTTTGCCTTCACAGCAATTCTATTCCCATGGCTGCAGAGATGACCCCTTGTTCTAATGAAGGTAACAGAAGGTAATAAATGATTTTAAAATAAATGTTTATTTTCTCGTATTCGTCCTCATACTATAATTATTATTTTTTGTTTCAAATACCTAAAGATATTAAAGAGCCCCTATCATTTGAAATGTTCATATTTTTGTTTTAGGAGTTCCCAAAAACAGTTTAACATGCATGCAAGGATAAAAAAACACTTTATTTGTCTTATAATATGCATTTATTTTTAACTGATTTGCTCACTGACTCCCAAATGATTCGTACAACGACTCATTTTTCCAAACCACTCCAGTCCTTTGCGTGAGCGTGACGCTAATCGGCGGTGATTGGTCAGATGACAGACCCAGTCAGTTATTGTTTGTTAGCATAAGGCATAAACATATTGATAAAGCACTGCAGTACTACATAACACTCTATTCTATATGACAAATCCAATAACAGCGACAAACATTTCACATATTTAAAAAAAATTGACATTGGAGACCTAGAAGTTGCGCTGAGCGTAGCGCACACACATACTTATTGCGCCTTCCCTCCTCGCGCCCGACGCTACAAAACCGTTCAACACCCATAAAAGCAACAATTATTAATAATACTTACAGGTTGAGATTCATAGGAGGAAGCTGATCCATATTCACTGGGTAAGTAAGTTACTGAGCCCTCCTTCAGGAACAACCGGTGTTACGGATCAACTGGGGATCATGTTAACTGGGGACGCGCGCGTGCACGCAGACAGTTTTACCTGGATTTCCAGCAGATGTTAAACGGTGACAGATTCGTCACAGCTATTTTTTCACTGAGCAGATTTCCAAAGCTTTCCATTTTATTGTTAAATGTTTGCATCATATTTTGGCTCTGATGTTTACTCTGCGCTGCTCCGCTGTATGTTTCAGACGCCTTTAAGGGAAGTTTTAATGTGCTTTAATTTCGCGACACACAGACCACGCCCACATTATTTTTTTACATTAGTTTCAATAAAATTTGTATCTGATGACAACTGTAAATATATTAAATAAATTATACTATTGACATTGTGTATTTGCAGTGCTTGTGTATTCGCAGATTATTGTTATGATGCCAATTTGTGGCTTAATTAAAATTGAGCAGCAATACTGCTGTGGTTAAAGGGACATGTCAAGCATTTATTTATTTATTATTTATGAATTTTAATGTTTCTGAGGAATGAGTTAAAACATAAAGCATACAGTACACTCCATAAATGTTCATAAAGAGTGGTGAAAATTGATAAGCCATAGCTTATGGATCCAGTGATTTACCCACAGCATTTATAGGGAATGTTCAACAAACATATTCATTAGCTAACTGTTAGCTAATGAATATGTTTGTTGAACATTCCCTATAAATGTTAAACAGACCTATGAAAGCAACAAAAGAAAGAAAAAAATAGGCAAATGTGCATGCATGCAGCCAGGACAGCTTTTTTGCCATCTGTGAAGGTCTGACCACACAGTCTCACCTTCTGAACATTCAATCTAAGGAAGGATGAACAAACTATAGAATAAGTTAGAATTACATGCTAATGAAGAACAGTTACTTGTTTTGCAATGTGTATAATTTTTTCTTACCCATTGGCCAGTTTGGCCTTACTGCTCTCCATCTCATTTAAATCATGGTATATTAGAAAATAAATGTCAGTTGTATTACCTTTCTATAGTAAGAGCAATTTAACACACAATCACCCTTCACTGAGAAATGTTCACATCTCCTCTTAGTGTTCCTTTATTGAGCAGCTGCCAAATAATGGTTATCCTACAAAGTTTTTGATTTGTGTAACTTTAATTGCATCAATTTGCTGTGGTAGTCTATGGCCTAACAACAATGACACCAGTAACAATAATGACACTTAATTTATAGACCTTTTGAGCACTGGCATAATTTATATTACATAAAAAGTTGCCCAAACACATTATATTTTATTTATAAAACTCATAGACTAGTCTGTAATATTTATTTTGTTAAAGATGTCAGCAAGTAAACAATAAAGCATTTCGTATTGTTTTAGAGAGGGTCATGACATTCATGTGAGGTGACAAATGATTAAGAGGTTAGTGATGTAGGTGAAAATTAGACATAGGCTAGAGAATATCAGGCCTATATATTTGTAATAAGTCATCATCACAATATCATATGTTCTGCTTATTTCAGTAATACACTCTGTGTTTTTCACAGGACTTTAATCACTAAAGACAAAGTGTTCTCTAAATGTCCAATACAAGACTAGCTACACAACATTCAAGTTTATGCTACTGAGCATAATGTACAATGTTTGAGCAACTTTGCATTTCAAGGTACACATTCTAAAGTCTCATAAGTTCTTGCTTTCCCTGGGAATTGAACCCACAACTCTGGTGTTGCGCGCTCAACACTCTACTGTTTGAGCTACATGAATGCTCAATTCCATGTTTTGATTGATCAAATGATTACATGCTTATACAAATATGCAGTAGGCAATACAAAATTGTTTTGAAAGAAACAAAGAAATTATTTTTTATTTTATGAATCTTTTGAAAATGTTACATTAAGTTCATGAGATAATTAACTTCGTGATATAGATGATATGGACGCGTCACAGCTGGTTGTTCAAAAAAGAGATCTAAATATCATAAGAGTAAAATAAGCTGATAAGATAAAAATAATTGATCCATTATAAAATTAGGCTATATATGAAGAGTTCAGATGCAAAAGCCTCTAAGTGCCAATTGAAATGTTCATCTTGAATGATAATTTTTATCAAGCTTGTATATTTAAGTTCAGTAATTTCACTTAAATGGCAATGATAATTACCTATTAATTTTATTTTTTATTTTTTATTTAAGTGAAATTACTGAACTTAAATATACAAGTTTGATAAAAATCATCATTAAAGAAGAAAATTTCAAATGGCACTTAGAGGCTTTTGCATCTGAACTCTTCATATGCAGATCGAAAAATGCAACTTGTTGAAAAAATGTAAATGACTTTGCAATTTATGTTTCTTTTAGGTAGCCTACTTTAACTTAATCTAACGTTACATCTGTTGTTATTTGTGATTAGAACTCATGACAACACAAGTGCGCTGACAAGTCTGTTCATCCAATGAAAGCGAATGACCCTTGTTAACATGGGCGTGGTTTCTGAGCTTGACACTAAAGTATGTTAAACTTCTTTGAAAATGCGTCAAATACAAAGGAATATCATACACTGCAAAAACAAAGCGCTTTATTTGCATACCGTGTACTGGTAACTGGTGAAATATTCGTTTTTATCGGTGAAAAATAGGGCACGAATCTGTCGCTGTTAACATCTGCTGGAAATCCAGGTAAAACTATTTGCGTGCACGCGCGCGTCCCCAGTTAACATGATCCCCAGTTGATCCGTAACACCGGCTTGCGAATCCACATTTGAATTCATTTATGTTTTTGAACGATTCGTAATTAAAATGTATCATTGCAAATATGAACTCTAACCACTGATTCTTCACATGCTCGTCCCTGGTAAATGAAAACAAAGTGGACTATCTGAACTATCTTTGCAATGTAGAACACATGAAGTATTTGAATGTGTAGACTTCAAGTTTACACTTCCGTCTGCGCGCGCAGTAACTGGGCGCGGCCAACGACCTCTCTACGTCACGACGTATCGAGACGTATCAGCTAATGACTCGTTTCAAAAACAATTCATTTCATAGACTCAGAGTCGACTCTCACTTTTGAAAGACAATAACTTTATAAACGGTGCACTTTCAGATATAAATCTTTGCAGGATGTTTTCATTCCCTTAGAGCTATATTCCACACCATACAGTCATTTTCAAAAATCCATTATTAAAAATGCGCTCAATCAGATCAGCGAACTGTTGCCATTTTTAAAAACAAACGCCCCAATCTGCATTATATTAATGTACATTTTGTGGTTTATGCAACGCTGTTTTGTGCAAACAATCTGTGATTTAAAGAAAAGGGGGAAAAGGTATTTTAAAATGACCTTTAGACCTAGGTCAGAAATTGATGAAGTCTTTATACATTTTTTTTAACCTTTCCATTTATTGAATGCGTTCATTACAAAAGAATTAAGACAACACCAAGCATTTTCGATTCAGTTCATTTTATTTTCACATTATCTTATATTTCCCTGGCTAATTCATCAAGATGAGCATATGGTATTTTATTTCCTTCCCTGAAGTGTGGCTCATAAGTTTAATAAATATAAATAACAAAACTGTTTTAGTACTATTCTGTAAACAGAAAGGAAAAAATCCTAATACTGTATGTCTGATGTAGAATAAATACTTGTGGAATAAAATACTGTTCCAAAAACAAACCTTGAAAAAGTGTGTAACAGTGCCCCCTAAAAGCTTCCCCTGTTTATTTCCTCAGATATGTTCGTTGTATCCATTTACAATTATGAAAACAGGATGATATCTAGAAGGTTTATTCAAAAACTTTCAGCACTCATCAACACCCAGCAATAAACAAAGAATTATTAGAAGATACAATTCAACTTCCAGAGACTGAAGAGACGTGTCTATCTATAATAACTCTGTAGATATTAGTGCTTCTGCTTGACTTTGGTCTGATCTCTCAGATGAGGTGAGATGATTCTCAGCACTCCTCTTTTCCAGCTATTCCTGCCGCCGTGATATGAGTCAGTTGAGCCGAATGCTCCTTCGCTTTGAGACGCAGCGCTGCTATGCTGGAAGCATGAAAGTCCACTGTTGGAGGGGACAGTAAGGGTGGTGAAGAGGAGAGAAAGTTGCTGGCGAGGTGGGAGCGTTGAATTGAACTCTCGATGGCAGGAACGGGTCTCCTTTGCAGTGCCATTGGACCTAAGCTCGTAAACAGTCTGTTAAGAAATGGAGAAACAGAATATTGTAGCGTGAAACGGAACTTAATTGTTTTGTGTTGAACGTGCGGATGAGGCTCACCTTCCAAAAGTGGGACTCATGAAAGCGGGGTGTCTAAACATGGCCGCCCCTAACAGAGCACTGAAGCCATGAGGGGAAGCAGAGTTTGGGGGTGGCTGCTGAGCCAGTCTTTGTAGGGGGCCAGGCCAAGCTGAATCAATAGCTGGATGCGGGTTTGGGACAAAAGGATTCCCACTCAGGTAATGACACAAGGACTGTGGAGCAGAGGGGGTTCCAGGATAGTGTAGGCTCAGAGTGTGTGAGTGAACCCCCGCCTTTTCCCGTTTCCTCCATTTTGCACGTCGATTCTGGAACCATACCTTGAGAGAACAATGCTTTTGTCAGTTACAAGTAGCTAATAAGTAAAAAGAACAGTTTGTACATTTGGTGAAGAAATCTTGTCCCAATATGAAAGCACATCAAGCTATTGCTATATATATATTTTTTTCTTTTCTGTGTGACATTGTAAAGCACATTGGTCAACTTGTGTTGTTTTAATATAGAAAAATTAAGTCTTTTGCTATTGCTATTTTTCTTTAGTTAAAGAAAAATTAAAGCTAGACCACAGGCTCAAATATATACTTGGATTTCACAAGAAATGCAATGTTCAAAAAATACTGTGAATTGCCAGGGTGCCTTTCATGTATTAACTTCACTCATTCTCTATTTGTTTTAATGTAGTGATATTGTATGTATTTTTATTATTTCACTTGTTTCTATTAGCTCTTAATGTATGTTGTTTGTATACGGACTTTTATGCACGTTGTCCAAGACAAATTTCCCAGCAATGGGACTAATAAAGTATAAAGTAATGTTACAGAACTTGTATTATTTCTGCATCTTATTCTCATCTGTGATAATACATGACTCATGACTGAGAAAAACTACCTAAAAATTTGAATCCTGTCATTCATGTCTTTCTAAAACTGAATGACTTTCCATCTTCTGTAAAACAAAATGTCTTATTTTAGATTTTAGATTTACTAGGGTGAGTAAATATGAATGATAAAATAAATTTGTATTATTGGGATAACTATTTCTTTAATACAGAGGGTTGTTTGCAGATGGAAATGGTTTATAAAAAAATATAGGCTATAATTATAATATAAACAGAATTTGGAAATAACGTGCTAATAAAATAATAAATAAAAATAGGAACGTGTAAAGTTAAATAAAAGAACCTCGAATGTTGCATATTCTTGGACATTTTTTTTCATCTGATTGCCAATTCTCACTTAGAGCTACATATCTAGATGTCATTTTAGGTTGCTTTTCAGTGTATTGACAAGCTTCTGTACACAAATCCACAAGATATAAGTGAATCTTATATTTTCGATAGTGTAGAATTGTAATTTAAAAATGGCAAAAATATTTAGGATATATATTTTCTTAATGTTTCATGCTTTTTAAGTGACTCCACAGTCACGAAGAGTGAAAGGGAACAGGCTATGAATGCTGAAAAAGGTGAGATGAAAAAGGAAATAGACTTACTTGCACTCGTGCTTCTGTAAGATCAAGTCTCATTGCTAATTCCTCCCTTTAATTGCAGAGAGAGAGAGAGAGAGAGAGGTTGTAGGTCAAGTCTTTATCTTTTTTTTACTCACATTAACATATATAGGCTATTTATTCATTTACATTATTGTGAGCAAATATTCAATCTATTTATTCAAACATTCCCCATTGAAATGGCAACCTGTATTGCAACGAAAATAAATATAAATTATAATTAAAGCCTAAACTTTTTTTTATTAACCATTAAGGTTTTTTTTTCTATTGAAAATGACTGTTGTCTTAAATCAAGATGTGACGGAAAATGCCATTCAACCAATAAAATTATTATTGTTTATGATTGCATAACGTTAAAGCATTAAGGCCAACGTAAGTCAAATGATTTGTGTTGCCGTTACCTTGTGAACACATCAGGGTAGTGTGTCTTTTGAAAAGCCCTTTCCAGCTCCTCAAGCTGATAGCTGGTAAATGTGGTCCGGTATCTCCTCTGTTTTCGTTTTAACATCCCATCTTCAGTGTCACTTCCCGCTGATAAAGTAGTTTCCTCACAATTCTTCAAATATGCGTCTCGATCTTGCAGCCCCACGTGTGTGTCTCTCTCGGCTTCTCCCTCCTCCGGTTTTGGCGTGGGACTGGACGCGTTTTTGCAGGACTGTTGAGACGCATGTTCCTGATACGATCTAGCACGAGTGATGCTTAGAGAGGCTTCAGTAGTTTTGATCTTTTCACAAGCTGTGTGTAGCAGTCTTGCCTCGTTTTCGTTTGTGCGAATGTCTATGGTGGAGGAGTCTGTCAACCTGGCGAAGGGGCGGCGTAGCTTCGGCGGCAGGTGCATGTCTGGCTGAAGGGACCACACACTGTCCGGGGATGCTGTAAAAATAATCTAAATTGTTATTAATAGAATTAATTAAGTTATAAATAAGAACATAATTTAATTACACAAGGAAGACTATACTTTTAATGTACGTGCAATTTAATTTAATATGATTTGTTATTAATGAGCATTAGCTGCACTGTTAAAAAGTGCAATGAACTTGGATGTTTAAGTCGTTTCAACTTGAATTACATTAAACTGACTTAAATGAGTTGAATCTTGTTTAACTTACTACAGCGAAAAAAATATGAAAATTGCTTAACTTATTTTGATAAGTTAAAGCAACGTAAAAAAAAACGTGTTGTCATGCCTTTTTTTAGGGTGACTTAATTACTCTGTAGGCCTACTTGAAACTGCACATTGTTATTGTAATTAGGCTAATTGTAATACAATTAATGAATTGTATTTCAAGTTTATTTCAAGTTCACAAAAATAAATTCTTATTTAAATCCAAAGTTCATCTCTTGAATACCATTAATAATTCAGTGCAATACAAAACCACAAAAACAGGAATGCATCAAAATAAGCGACTTACCTTTAACTTTTAAGGAACTTTTCCTTCCTAGAATACTGTCGATACTGTACGAGGACAACAGCTGTGATTTATATTTGCAGTTTGTTTGGTCTGGATTTGCCTCCTCTGCTTCTTTGCTCATATCTCTGGCTTTAATGAAGGCTATGCAGAAATCAAAAATCCATTGAGCGCGCGCGTCCCGTTGCTCTCGCTGACTGATCGCTGCAAAAGCTCGCGCACGCCGACCTTTGTACTGATGCTTCAGCTTCCAAAACTGATCTAGAGCATCTGATTGGTTCTCCGATAAAAGCCTCTGCCACCTTCAGTTTAAAGACACTTTCGCTTTATCATGGCAATACACATTTATCCAACACATTTCAGATTGAAATTAACTAGCCTACTTTAGAATGTCATTAATAATAACAGTAATAATAGCCTAACCTAATAAATAATAGCTAACAGTAATAATAATAATTATAATAATCATAATAATTTATTTTTGTTGTTGTAGTTGGTAATGTTACTTTTAAATGCAATCCTATGAATATAGGCAAGAAAAAGATAGAAATGAGAATTCCAAAGACATCTTTTTAGATTAACATTATTGCATAGCTTCCAGTCATATTTTTATATAATTGTATGTTCTGTTTGTAGAACAGAAATCAAGCGTGGTACGCGCTCACTGCAGTGCGCCTTGAGCGCCATCTACTGCATAACAGATTTTTAAACGGAATAAAAAGTGAAAAGGAGAAAATTATGAGTAAATATAATCAGAGAGAATTGCCAAGTTACAACGCTTTCTTATAGCCTATACAATGTCAAGTTTATTTAAGCTTTTTTTATGAACACGAACTGTTTGTATCCGTTTTATGGTGAGTTAAATCAATAAGTTTCTCATATGTTAAATAAAAAAAGAGTAAAAAAAAATACAAAACAACAACAACGTGGCATTATGTTTTCATGGTATCGGTGTTCACCATTAAGACTGTAAAAACAGAAGTTTACACGAAGACAGTTCTCATGGTCACGCTCTCGTGTTCATCACCATGGCAACAGTACACAACTTGGTATGGTAAAGCACAACAGAGCGGCTGTGAAAATGGCAGCTGAGGAATCCGTCGACGGTCCATATTACCTCGAAAAAGTTGTGATTCCAGAGGACTCCGAGGATGAATATACATACGACGAAGTGTCTGTCGACGACGAATACAGCATAACTGAGGGGGAAGAGGACTTGGAAACTGTCGTTAAAGCAGCACGGGATCAAACCGAATGCACAACACAGAGTGTCAGTTCAGCCAAACATCCAGTTCCTAAAATACCTGAGGTGGTGGACGACTTTCTCCGCAATTATCTGGTAAAAATGGGCATGAAAAGAACACTAGACTGCTTCCAGACAGAGTGGTTTGAGATGATACACAAAGGCTTAATTAAAACAGACCAAATGGAATTCGTGCCTGATGCCTATACACACAACCAGCTCCTGGACAATGAGCTAAAAAACACTGAAAGAGAGCGGGATAGCTATAAACAGGCTGCATTTGAAGCTGGAGAAACCATTGTAAAGCTCCAAAGAGAGAGAGACTTCCACAGGATGCAGCACAAGCGTGTTGTTCAAGAGAAGAATAGACTTATTGAGGACATAAAAAAGCTGAAGAAACACTACGCATCCTACGAGCCTTCTCTTAGACAGCTAAACGATAAGTATCAGACAGCTGTGAGGCAGAAGATGCTGGTTACTCTGGAGAGAGACAAAGTGTTCAGCCAGGTTCAGAACCTAGACTCTCTACGTACCACGCAGTCTTGCCCAGGAAGTCGAACAGCTCTAAAAGCTGCACAGGAAAGAGAAAAAACCCAGAAAGGAGCACACCCGCCATGTGACAACGATGCTATAAAAGACCCCAACAAGAACACAAAACATCCTAAGGATTCGGAATTCCCAGCCAGCACTCGCGTCAATCCCTACTTGCCTCAAATCAAAGCTTTGTCTTCTGTCAACACCAAATCAGCCAACTTCTCTCTCTCAAAGTCTTTTAAAGCACACACAATGGCAGTAAGTTTCCTCGCTCTCCATCCCCGTAAAATGATAGTAGCCTCCTCAAGTGATGACCAGCTTTGGAGATTATGGGGAATACCCGAGGGAGACATGATCATGACCGGCGAGGGTCACACTGATTGGCTCTCATCCTGTAGTTTCCATCCCAGTGGTGGTTACCTGGGTACCACAAGCGGGGACGCCACAGTTAAAATTTGGGACTTTGCTCAAGGTCGATGCATGCTCACTTTGGAGGGACACATCCACGCCACCTGGGCCTGTTCCTTCCATTCCTGTGGTGATTTTGTGGCCTCTTGTTCTATGGATAACACTGCTAAAGTGTGGGACTTGAATAGCGAGCGTTGCCGCTGCACTCTGCGTGGACATGTCGACTCGGTGAACAGCATTTCTTTCCTGCCCTTCTCAAATATTCTGCTAACCTGCTCGGCAGACAAGACCCTCTCTCTTTGGGATGCCCGCGCTGGATTGTGTGCCCAAACTTACTACGGCCACAAGCATTCATGCAACCACGCAGCCTTCAATGCCACCGGTGACACAATTGCTTCGTGCGACTCTTTTGGGGTGGTCAAATTATGGGATGTGAGGAATGTGTCAGCAATGGTGTCCATAGACACCGGGCCTCATCCCAGCAATCAAGTGGTCTTCAGTCCTAATGGAAGAATGCTAGCAGTGGCGAGTAACGATGGCTCTGTGAAAACCGTAGAAGTGGCATCTTTACATATGTCTAGTCTAATAGCTCACGAGGACGCCGTTCAGAGTGTCGTTTTTGACCATAAAGGGGAATACATACTATCTGCAGGCTCTGATGGTGCAATTCACATCTGGTCATAACAAAACATATTTACAATGGTTGAGAAATGGTCAAAATGAAAATACATTCTAATCCTTAAATATGCATGCCTATTTGTTTATAAAACAACGTTTCCTGCACACAATGGACAAGCTTCTAATTTCGGAAAGAATGTTATTATAAGCTTTAAATTAAATAGCTATTTAAAGCAAAAAGTGCATTGCAAGAATATTTTCCAAAAATATTTAATTTGTTATTTAATAAAATGTCATTTTCTTGTGCTTTGGCACTTTACACTGACAGGCATAAGGGATTATTTACTTTTCGGAACATGTTCTTATTCAATTTGCATGTCTACACACGTTATAACTTGCTCTCAGTCTGTAATGACATATTTTCCTCTTTTATATTGTTTTCAATGTTTTAAATCAATCAGTTAATACAATGTAAAACTCATATAGCAAATAAAAATCTGATGCAACTATTCAACTTGTTAGCTTAGACTTTTCTTCTTCTTTTTTTTAAGATAAACTTTAACTGCATGATTAAAAATGCATAGGGCTGGAAACCAGTTAAATTGGAACTCAAGTTAAATTTATTTACATTTTTCATTTCCCACCTTTATTTCCTAAATTATTGTAAATGTTTTTTTTTACCTTTAATATGCTATCAATGCATTTTGTAAACATTGTGTGAGTTACACATTAAAATCTGCATATCGAATGAGAAAACAAGTAGTAAGCGCTTACTGGCAAACGTAAAAGACAATTGCAACTACCAGAAAAAAAGTATGACAGGAGCGCAGGTCTGAGACAGTATGTCATCTCCAAATGTTCCAGATAGACACAGCCGACCGAGTCTCTTTCACCCAAAGCTTAAAGACACAGTTCATCACTGCCATCCCTTTAAAGACCACCGGGTTTGAGAGTACCGAGTCCATTGGTCATTGTAAGTGTCATGTCATTTTAAGAGTATTTAAAAGTCTTTAGTGAAGCCTTTAATTTGAACAGTTTGGTTGTGTGAGGCTGGAGTTTAGATTATTGGATAATCTGCTATGTCCATCCAATAATCTGAACAAAAAGGATGATGAGCATAATTAAATTATTAATCTGACTTCAATAAAGTTGTTATTATTCAACCCATAAGAAAAAACGTAGGAAAATGTAGGATTTAATGAACGTTTAGATAACTAAAGTTTGTTATCACTATCTATCAGTGATAAGTCTTTTAAATAAAACTATACTAATCTCATTGTTATCAATGTTTAAATTCAACCAATTAAAAATATCATACCCCATTTTTGCGAATAAAAATCTGCTACAACGATTCTCCTGGTCTTTGGGTGGCGCGAGTGTCCGAGCTGATGTGAAGCGAACGCCGGAAGTGCGTACCTACAAAAACACAGACACGCCCCCTCATGTTATTGGCGCGTGCAGCGGACTGGAGAAGAATGATACATGCTGATCAGCATATTTATTCAAATCACTCGTCAAATATTGATTATAAAGGTATACCGGGCTTTATCTGCAACTGCTAGTTCAGATAAATGATTTAATGTAAGAAAAAAATAGCTAATAATCATTCACGAGACGGAATGTAATTTGACAGCACGCGCACGCAGCATCCTGTTGCTCATCATCATGTGTCTGTAACGTTAGATACATAACAGCTGGCTTAAAATAGATTCAGTTTGAAAAAATAACAATATTTCTCTCGGTTGAAGTGTCACTTTTTATCCGTCAATATGATGAAAAGCGTGGGAAAGCTTTTTGGGTTGAGGCGAAAATGCGCGCCCCCGAAGTCTCGCATTGACAAGAAAAAGACGCGCGTGAACCCCGTTGATGAAATGCTCGAAGATAGCGACGAGGGCTCGTACGGCAGCACGACCAGCGTCAGTTCAGGGAGCGAATACCAGAACTCCGAAGAGCAGTCCGGTTCCTCCGACAGCTCGTACAGAGCACGCGAGAGTGACGGGGATGACAGCAGCGACACGGACGAGAAACGCGCCGCGTCGCGCAAACCGAGGAAGAGACCAGCCTGCGCTCCTGTTGCTCTTGACGACAGTTCCAGCGATTCCAGCGCGTCCTCGAGCGACGTCGGCGGAGAGCCGCTCAGGAGAGCGTTGCAGAGAAAACGGCTCAGACTGCCCGAGGACTCCGAGGACGAGGCTCTGCGGAAGAAGGAGAGAGAGGCAGAGGTGAAAGAAGCTGCTGCCAAGAGAAAAGAGAGAAAGAATAAACTAATGGAGCTGTCAAAGAGAAGAAAGTCAGGCAATCCGCGGCGCAGGCGCAGGACGTTGGTAAGTTGACCACGAATGAGCAAGAAACAGTAGGATTAGTTCACTTAAAAAAAAAAAAAAAAAAAAAAAAAAACTTTTGCTGATAATTTACATTTACTCACCCCCATGTCATCCAAGATGTCCATGTCTTTTTTTCTTCAGTCGAAAAGAAATGAAGGTTTTTGATGAAAACATTCCAGGATTTTATCTATATAATGGACTTCATTGGGAACCAAACGGGTCAAGGTCCAAATGAGGGTTTCAGTGCAGCTTCAAAGGGCTTTAAATGACACCAGACGATGAATCAGACTCCGATTATTACAATTCACGGCAAAAGGATTGTTTGGAACAATCTAAACTGATATGTCCTATTGACACACTACAACAAAAGATATAAATAACTGGCTTAAAACTACACAGTGCTGTAATTTGTTAATTTTTTATTTCACCAATTATCCAATTCATGTTACTTTTTATTCACTGAGTAGCTTCAATGCTAATTGAAATGTCTCACTCTTAACCATTTATAATTTACACTGTCAACACTTTAATAATAATGTATCATCTTCAGTGATAATAGTAATGGTGACTAAAACAACAGCATTCCTTTCAAAAGTATTGGTTAACTGGATACCTTGTCTGTTTTTTTCTGCAGGGTTCAGAAGAAGAGGAAGAGGAGAAGGAGATCAAGAAGGAAGAAGTTGAAGAAAGTAAAGCAGACGAAACTCGTGATGAATCTAGTGTGGAAGAGAACGGCGGCCTTCTAGACAGCAGCGAGGAGGAAAAACTTGCTGATAGTAGTGACAGTCTGAAGGATTTTATTGTGGAGGAAGATGAACAGAAAAATGACAAAGAGCAGGAGGAAGATGGGAAGGCCAAAGACAAGGACTTTCTCTCTCACCTCCCACGCCAGTGTAAGACTATATGGTTGTGGCTTTTTATTTGCAGTTTGGAAACGTGTAGATGTGTCTTCAACATTTAATTTAAATGAATTATAAAATTTGTATTTGTTTCTATTCTCGGTACAGTTATCACAGGATCGCAGCTCACACACTTTCAGGTGGTGGTCAAAGCCTTGCTGATCAATGTACTGGACTCAACTTTCCTCAGTTCACTTTACAGTATGTTCAGCAATTTATTCCTTCTCTTCTTAGCACTACATATGTATATTAATATATTCAAATTACTCACGGTTCGGTTTTTATATGATTTTAGGGTCATGGTTTTGGTACGGTCTGTCATGTGCTATGTTCAGGGAATACAGGACTACTGTCAAATAGAAATAAAGAAAATAAGAACAAATAATCAAACTACAAGCAACAGCTCAAATAAATACAATAAAGCAAAGATACAAATAAAATAAACAGTGCCTTTTAGGTTTTTCAGGTATCAAACTGTAGTTTTGTAAAGTAATCAAATGGAAAACAACATTGCATATAATCTAAAGATGAATCATTATTAAAGTTACTAAAGCTATTCAGTCAAGAGCAGCGAGTGATGTATTTTTTTTTAAAATGTATTTTAACCATTTATTTAATTTGTCACATTCTGCCTTCCCAAATCCAAAACGTTACAACAGCGATGATCAAAAGTGTCACTCTTCAAAATGATGTCATTTTTGACCATACGGTACTCCTACTGAACAAAGTTAATAAGAAGAGCGACTTTTTGTTCACGTTTTTTTGATAATCGCTGTCGTAACGTTATTGGGAAGGCAGAATGTGACGTAAATCACATTTAAAAACGTATTAAAATACAAAAATTTTGTATTTTTGATTAAATAAATGCTTAAAATACAAAAAGAGCCTAAACCATTTCACTTTGTATCATTGACTACAGGTGGTGAACGAACGAAGCGATACGCCCAGGAGATGAAATCATCGTTGCTTCATTTTGATGAGCGATTGGTTCTTCCTCGCCTGGAGAACCTGAAGCAAAGGAGCCGCTGGAAAGAACGTTACAAAGTAAGATAAAAGTCCTTTGTGGTTTTTCTTGAAAAGATGTCACATTTCTATGTATAATTGCTTGATTGAAAGTTATGGTGTGGTGTAGATTAATATACATACTTTCATGTTTCTTTATCGTTTTTATTTATGAAAAGGAAAGGGTAGAGTGTTATCCTAAATTGCGAGTTATAACGACAAGGAGCCAGACGAAGGGATGTGAAGCCTGTGAGCTTCACCGAACGGGACGCTTCACCGTACGACTCTCTGGCCAGTTGTACCACAACAACACCCTGCAGGAGGACCAGTTCATGCCCGATGATGCCCAGGTTGTTTTCCATGCAACTCACTCGTACAATTTCCGAAGATATGTTTGAATGCTTCTTGATCTAATGTTTATGTTAACAATTGCAGAGTTTCTTTGTTGGCTCGGTCTGTGCCAGTCGTACTGAGGTCTACCATGCCCTGAAGCACTTTAAATACCATCTGTTTGAGAAGTGTCGTACAGCATTGGAAGCTCAGAAGGAAATACAGGAAGGGGAAACAGGAGAGGACGACGAACCAGTTAAGGAGACAGTCAACAAGGTGTTTACCAAACTGCAGGATGGAGGCTGGATCAGTGAGGTGGGCATATGGAACCTGCTCTTTATGTGCCTTTAAAAGCTATTTGAAGGGATAGTTCACCCAAAGGCCAAAGTCATGCAGAGTTCAGCTCCAATCCATTGCATACTCCTATCTATTCAATTGCATTATATGGACTCGCAGAGATTTATTATTTTCCTACAAATCTTCTTTTGTGTTTATCTTAAGAAAGAAAGTCATATACATCAGGGATAGTATTAAGGTGAGTAAAAAGTAAATGACGAGAGGATTCAAATTTTTGGGTGAACTATTCCTTTAAAAGTGTATGAACACATTGATTTCTTTTTTTTTTCTTCTTTCTATCCTTTTAGCAATACGAGAAGTTTCAGGAACATCTCAATTCTGCCGATTTCTTCCAGGAAGAAAAGCTGGACTGAAAGGATTGAACTTTTCCTAACGTCATCAATCTGCCCTTTTATTTTTGGCGTCTTAAAGCATGGCTAACTTTTGAGTTGTTAAAGTGTGTGCCCTGAAGATTTAGCATTATGATTTCATAATTTTATAGTCGCACTGCTATGTAAATTGCTTCTGCACGATTGTACGCAATATTCAACATATAAAAACAAGCTGTAACCCAAAATGTAACAGATTTGTCCACATCCTGAGGGTTAACGAAGAAAATTCTGTATTTTACCCTGATCATTGTGCTCTCAAATATTTGTATGCTGTTTTTATGCCTTCATTTGTAAGTAATCTCCTCATATGAACACTTCTGTGTAAATGCATCTAAGCCATTTTACAGTGTTTTAGTGTTCTTGTAATAAACAAGATTCATAATCCATGTTTTGCATCACAGAAACTATTTCAGCTTTCAAATTTTACATTTTATTAGAAACAGCAGTCAAACAATGCATATAATAACACAATCTACAGGCTTGTGCTGAATCGCCATCCTTACAGGACACCAAGCTTGAATTCGGTCATGATGTGAGGATCGCCCATCATCTCGCACTGGATAGGATCTGAGGGGGGAAAGTGTTTACATATGACCTAGTATACTACACAAAAATCAGTCAGTATCATTTTTAATAAGCTAAACAGCTCATAAAACTTTGAGAGCATGACGGGTAAAGTGTCAAATGTTTCTTCATACCATTGAGGATGTCCTCAAAGCCAATGGTGTCATCACTACCTCTCAGGGTATCCAGGGCCAGATTTGAGCTGGGCAGGAAGGGCAAACGCTGAATCTGAACCGAGGCAAGTGCAACGTTTAAGCACGACGAGCGTAGGGTGTTTATGGCGTAACTCACACGTGAGTAAGTGTCAAACATACCTGTCTAGCTGCTCTGTACTCCATCTGTAGTTTGAGGGGTGCGTGGAGACCCTGGATGTTCCTTAGTGTGTTGAAGTTCATCTTGTCCTGGTTAAGATGAAACTGGTTTCACAGTACAAGCGGTTACACTTTGTTTAGATGTGTCTTTGTTGCAGTGTACTTACACAAATAAGTAACGAGTAAAAGTGAATAACACGTTGGTAACACTTATTTTTCAGTGTCTGTTAGACATTTTACATATAGTTCCTATAGTAAAAAAACAGTCCATTAGTTACATAGAACTAAACCAAACCTTAACCCTAGTTATGTAGTAAGTACATGTAGTAAATGAGTAGACACCTTAAAATAATTCCCTATAGGGCAAGCTGCTTGTAATTTTGCATAATTTACCAAAACTATAGAAAGTACATGTAATGTGCAACAAAGATGATGTAAAATTAAGTGTTTACAATCTTCACAATCTAAATCACAATGATTAACTGTAGGAAACAATTTAATTCAGTTAGGCCTAATGTGTTTTTATTTCTTGGAATCATATATAATAAATGTTAAATATTAAATTGTAATATAACAAAGCAGTATGATTAAAAACACAAACCTTTGTTGTAGATGAAGGAAGACATTTGACTGTACTTCACAACAGTGTTGTTTATATTCTTTGGCAAATTGTGATTGAAATTATTGTGGTTATCTCATCAAATAACTATCGTGACAAGCCTACATGTTATTTGGAAAAATACATTCCAACTCTATTGGATAATGACTATTTTAAAAGTTTCAGAGACTTAATATGGTAATGAACTGATGTATATATGGCATATACAACAATGTTTGTATTTCATAATCAGTGTTATTTAAAAATGATGCAATATATTTGTGTATATATGTGACCGTTTAAAATGATGTACATCTTTATACATTCAGGTCTTAGCAAGAGCATCATCATTTACTACCAATATTTTACTTGATATGCTCTGCTCTTTAATTTTGCATGTATTTATATACTTTTAGATGTCTTTTGAAGAACCATGCATATTGGCAATGTTCTACTTACATTTTTCTCAGAGAGCTCCAATGGATGACTCGGTAGAAGCTCATTTTTTACACTAGAGAACCTGCGATCACAGAAAAATCTAATCTTTAGAATATAAATACGCATAAAGAAACATTTGCAGGTTTATAAGGGCAGAACTCACCCTCTGCGCAGAGAGTCTTGGACCCCATAAGGACCAGCCTGTGGACACAGACCTGTGACAGGAACACTGTCCTTCAGCTGAGAGCGCAGGCCACGAGTATTCTGCAGAAACACATAGTATTATTATTATAGAATCATGCAGAAAAGAAACCTGATGTGGAAATTAAAATTGAGTGTTTGACAGTTACCACGCTAACAGAAAAAGCGAATACAAAGTGAAAGTAAGGCCATGACACATCACAATTCATTTAGAAGCTAACAACGTAGCTAGTGGCTAAATTAATTATGATATTATTCATTTCGGTCGCGTCAAATAATAAAAGGTTGAGACTTTTAAACGGAAATTATGCCCGCGTAATCTTTCCTTGAATATAAATCAACAAACACGAACGAATCATTGTGCTATGCTAGCTAACTAGCTTGAACGCCTGCACAACACAAACAAGCGCTTTATAAACAGCAAATGCACACACTTTCACACTGTATGGGTAGCAAGGAAATATCACACACACCACAACCTTATTAAATGAAACAAAATTAAATCAATAACGAAATAATAAAATGAAGCTCCACATTACCATCTTCTAGCGACTTTAGTCTTGACGATCATCAGCGTAAATGCACTTCCTGTCAATTTCCGGAAATTCTGTTATCATGTGATTGCGGCAATATTTTGTTGTCGTTGTTTAATAAGGTTATTGTGTTATTGCTTATGACAACATATATATTAGGGGGATATTTATTTATTAAAAAAATATTACACTTATGTAAAATGCAAGAATCCATTTAAGTGATTCTAGGCTTATGTTTAACTCAGTATTCGTACATATCTGTCGTACGGGTGGGGGTATAGCTCAGTGGTAGAGCATTTGACTGCAGATCAAGAGGTCCCCGGTTCAAATCCGGGTGCCCCCTCACGAAAGACACTTTTTATGAATTTTTTAATTACTAGTAAACATTATGTATAAATAATACATATGTCGACATGAAATTATGCACACGAAGAAAGCCAGACAGCCAGGTTCGTTCAGCAAAAAACGAGTCTGATCTTTGCATGAGATTGACTCAGCTCGCTCTGTTATCGTGTTTGGTCAGATTTATCAGAGTTCCACAATGTGAAAAAGGTCGTTTCTTAGAATCTTATCACGGATTTATTTTCACCCTCACTTGCATATTTACGCAGTCCAAAGAACAAAATAATACAACATTATTAGTGTAATAGATGGAGTTGATATAAGACCACTTCACTTATTTCAAAGAACTTTTTTTTTTGTAAATCCAACGTATGTTTAACCATCTAGTGACATCATCATTTACAAATGACGTGAAGACAATTTAAACATGATCAAAAACAAAAATTAGCAATATTATAAGACATCACATTTTTGCAACGTGCATGACATTTTTTAGCAGCAAGGAAGTTAAGACATTAGCACATTAGTTCATGCAGTCAAGGCACCACAGTGAGTTAATTTCAGAGTAAAAATGCAAATAAATTCCATCCAAAAATATACATTATTGAAGCCTACATCTAAATGTGTTTTTGATCAAGGTTTTGGTCATTTTTAATGGAGATTTTAAATGTACATTGTCTGTGGTTCTGGCGCGTTTGTTCACTGGCAGGCACTATAATAGAGTTTTTGCCTGATGTTTTAGATTGATGGATGAGGAAAAGCTGTACCCTTTCCAGAAAGTTTTGATGATAGTGCATTAGAAAATGAGGTCGTAGTAAGAAAAGGATAGAAGCAGAGGGTGATGGCAGATATGAAGAAGTCATAGATTGTTGTGGAAGTCTTTCAAATGACAGGGAATATTGACTTTGTCAATGTATAAATTAAATTATATACATTTGAAGTATATGCGTGTGCTTTTTATTGCATACTTTTTGTTAAAATGTAAAAAAAAAAAAAAAAAAGCTGATCCCTGGCTCTGACACCGACACCAGAGTCTCGGCACCAAACAACAAGAGCCCAGTTTAGAAAAGGAGGATTCTATCCATGCCAACGACTTTTAACTTGAAAGAACTCGATGGAATAATACACAAATTAACATTGTCCTGGACATAACAAACAGAAGGAGAAGAGGGATTTGAAGATTGCACAAATGAATGAGAACAGAGCCAGAGTCTGAAGCAGTTTAATGTCCCAACACACTCCACCAAATGGTGGATTCAGGTCGATGTCAATCTGATTAATAACAACAATAATAACAAACACAAAGAATAATACAAAACCATTTACATGACATCCTAGTTTTGTACTGAAATACTGCAAATATATATATAGAGAGATTTCTTTACAGAGAGTATAAACAGGAAAAAGAAAAGAAACAGGTGCTACATGAGCATTAACTAATGCCCTGTTTACAACTGGTATTAAGATGCGTTTTGGTCGCAAATGGACGATGCTAAATACAGCAGTCTAAAGCGTTTTAAAGGGATAGTTCACATTGAAATTATTTTTTGCTATGTTTTAGCTTACCTCAAGGGCATCCAAGATGTAGGTGTCTTTGTTTCCACAGTTTCAATTTTGATATTTTTAGGTCAAACCGTTCTTGTCTGTCAGTCATATAATGGAGGTCTATGGTCACCACCGCTCGTTTTGTGTCTTAGGCGATCAATGAAACGAGCGGTGGTGACCATATACCTCCATTATATGACTGAACGACAAGAACGGTTTGACCTAAAAATATCAAAATTGAAACTACTGTGGAAACAAAGACACCTACATCTTGGATGCCCTTGAGGTAAGCTAAAACATATCAAAAAAATTAATTTCAAAGTGAACTATCCCTTTAAGCTTGTCCACTTTCGACCACTTCCAGAGCAGTGGAGATTTCTTTAAGACTGCAAGGGAAGCTCAGCTTCCCCTATAATGTCAAACAAATAATGATCTAATGTTTACTATTGTGTTAACATTTTAATGAGTAAAAATGCGTTAGAACACTGTAATCTCGAAGACGAGTTCGTTCAGAATAAGCAACAAATAGCAGGTCGGCTGACTTGATCTCCTTCTCATGCATACCTGTAGCGCGTCACAGTGCATGCATTTTCCTATGGCATTTCCCCGTTGAAGCTCGGCGTCCATTGACTTCAATTGGGCTGCTTTGAACAGTTTTTTTCAGTGCTGTTAAACTAGACGGTCATTGGATAAATGCTGCGATTATGTCCCGCCCACGGACGCCGGGCGTCTCTGGGGTAAATAGGGAAGTGGGCTGGCCTGGCGTCCGGGCGTCCGCGTGATGATTGGAGGATTGCATCTCCCTTTGATTGACAGCGATTTCACCCAATAAAAAAATCGCTGACGCGGAAGCTAGTTTAAAGACTTCGTGCTCAGTCTCGTCGCGAATTTTGTGTGTATTTTACTCGAAAGACGAACTACTGTAACATATTTCTTAGTATTTGCAATTTTCATCAGATATTTCACAGTTCAACCTTATTCCCACATTCCTTCCGTCGATGTCAGGTGTCTTGTTAAATGTGCGGGCATGGTGTTTGAATCACGGCACATCTGTCTAGTTTGGTTTCACTTTTGTGTTGGGATTCGGACATGCATTCTCCGCGTGTTTGTTTTCGGTTGTGAGTGCACAGGATGACCTTATGGTCGTACTCATGTCATGCGTAACGTTAGCGTTCTGTCTTGTCGTGTTCGCTCTGTTCAGTGTGTTGTGTATTGTGTAGCACATGGTTTGTGTTTACATCGGCCGCGTGCTTTCATGTCATGTTTTGTCTTGTGCTGTGTAGCACACAGCTTGTGTTTTACACTAACTGTGTGCTTTCATGTTGTCATGTTCTGTGTGAACACGTGTCTTATGAGTGTTCTCATCGTTCTTCAGGTCTCATTTTGTGTGAGCACAATTGCTTTTTAATTTGTTTTATTGGTCATGTGTTTTTGTCATGTTTGGTATGAGCACATGGCTTGTGCTTGTCATGTTTGTTGTGCCATATGTGCTTTCCTGTCATTGTGTCGACTCCCATCTTGTTTCCTGATTATTAGTTATTTTGCCCCACCTGTCCTCCCTCGTTACCTGCCTTTTTTGCTCCCAATTTATTCCCCTTGTTTGTTTTTTGTTTGTTTTTATCAATAAAATAAAGCCCATCAACTCTGCATCGAGTCCTCGCTCTTTTCACCATCCCCACACCTGACAGTCGAGTTTTAAAAAAAGAAGAAGAAAAAAGAGCTTCCCCTCTTTGAAAGACCAGCAGCCGCCACTGTTCCAGAGCTAGTCGCAAACGCATTCGACCGGATTGCTTTCGTAGTGTAACCGCTCATGTGGTCAAACAACACAACACAAAAGGACCCAAGTTTGGTTTGAAGACGAAAAACGTCTAATCTACAGTTAAAAACGTCTTTCTAGTCCACTGTGTGGTCTTGCGGAGTTTATGTAAATTGCGCGAGCCCATTTTGTTCATTCGAAAATTATGAAAAAAACACCCATAAACCCTACCCTCGAAGAAACCAAGCCAGAAGTGGTTGAAAGTGGACAAAAGAGACGGATTAAAACACCAGGTGTACACGGGAATGTGTCTCGCTGGTCTACTTGTGCATCTTAACAGCAGGAGTAAACAGGGCTCAAGATTATCAGTTAAACTCTGTTCTCAAGGATTTTACATGCTGAAGAGTCGTCCCCTTCTCTACTTCCCCCCTTTATTTTAGCATTAAGGAGACCTGAGTTCATTTGTGATATAATACATGTGAGTTTTTTGTTTTTTTTTTAGTAAGGGAAGGAGCAGTTGCATATTAGATATCCTTCAGTGGCATTCAAGTGGGCATCTCAGATCAACATGCGCTGAGATCGAGTTTCAAAGAGCTTTTTTACATTCAATGCGAATAATAGGGCTCAATGGTTTGTTCCTGTGGATACTCTCGTGAAGATCTGCACAGACTTTGAGTAAATCACATGTTCTGCAGGCACGGTCACATGAGTGAATTTTCACGTGCATTTGTCAACAGGGGAGCCATGCATGAAGCACAGTTCTGTGTGGGGAAAAGTCCCTGAACCACGGTGAATGTGGCCGCACCTTTACCGTGTCTTGAATTTTACAAGTACAAACTTAGTTCGTTTTTTAAAGCTCTAAAGCTCCCAGCCTGTGTTGGCAAGTCCCCAAGCGAAGCCTCGAATTGTCAAGCATGTGCAAAACCATGCATCGGTGGCACTAAACCAGCATTTAACAAGAGTTGTGTGACTTTATTTCGGGGCCATTGATATCTCCTCATCTGCTGTTCTCACAATATAGGAAGAGTGAAAGTGACAAAAGCAGGGTCTATCTAAAGCACGACTCTTGCACTAGGTTAATTGAGGTCTTTCTGTTGTGTGTGAAGATTGCTTCGTTTGCCCAAGATGAATAACGACCTTGAATATTCTGAGCTTAAACTGATTCTAAAGGTGTATTAGAACAGCGAACAACATCTCACAAACATTTTACTGTTAATATACGGATATACTCCTAGTAGGTTTGAAGCTAAATTTACTTTTTGAACATAAATGTGAACTAAAGGGAACATCTCTACTGTCTACATATTAGTCATACAAGAATTAGGTGACTCACTGTACATCGATACTTGTTATCAAATAATATCACACATTGCGCAATAACAACTTGTGCAATAAGATTAGAACATTTAAGATGCTCTGACTTCTGATTCTGAGGTTGTAAAGAGTCCAGGGTTATTCGATGTTACTTGTTGGATTCGAGTTATTGTTTCTTCAAAAATGGATCCTATTTCACTCGTACTTTTGCGCGTGTGTGATAAAACTTCACAGTTTACTTTCTCTTTTCTTGCTCCGCCAATGAAAAACAATGAAAGCAGAATCAACCTTTGTGTTTCTGAGCAATACACAGTTGAGTCAGTGATGCAATGACTTAAGCCGAAAGTATATTTTTCCAAGATCCGCTCTAGTTCGTGGACTGATGTCCTTTGCTGATGTCTACAGTTTACACCATGCCCGATTTTTTGTCTATGTGGACAAAGGGTAAAAGTAAAAATAAATGCCCAGTTATACTTAATTTTCTGTGTTCTGCTCCTTCACACAGGCGCTGTTGTGCGCACAAGTCAATTGTGTGGTAACATCAGAGGACGATGCTGATGAGGAAAATGACATCAGTGGAAAGTGCACGGCATAAGTATACTTTTGGCTTAAAGGAGTAGTTCACTTTTCAAAAAACTTTTGCTGATAATTTACTCACCCCCGTGTCATCCAAGATGTCCATGTCTTTCTTTCTTCAGTCGAAAAGAAATTAAGGTTTTTGATGAAAACGTTCCAGGATTTTTCTCCATATAATGGACTTCAATGGGAACCAAACAGTTCAAGGTCCAAAAAGACAGTTTCAGTGCAAACTGCAAACTGTTCAAAGGGCTTTAAACGGTTCCAGACGATGAATAAGGGTCTTATCAAGCGAAACGATCACTCATTTAATAAATAAATAACAAAGTTTAAGTTGTATAAGCTCAAATGCTCGCCTTGCTCTGATCTGTGACGCACCTTTGTGACTCGTTCATCAAAATGAACAAATCTTTTTCCAAGTCATTTGATTCACTCAACGAACGAAACAAACTAATTGACTCGGAAAAAGTACATGGAATGTTTTCATCAAAAACCTTAATTTCTTTTCGACTGAATACAGGATGACATGGACATCTTGGATGAAATGAGGGTAAGTAAATTATCAGTTTTTCAAAAGTGAACTACTTTAAGGTCCACCAGACTCATAAAGAAGTCCCAGAACATTTCTACTCTATAGGTTAATCTGTACTCAGTATTTCTTGTGAATGTGCAAGACATCCGATTCATACGCAAATAACTTGTAGAATAACAAAGTGTAAAGAACGGTAAATCTATTTGTTCTACAAACCATTGTGTTTATGATTGATAGTATATTAAAATAATATGATAACAAATGCCAGTTTGCAATATCAAGGAGCATAATTAACTAAAATAACTGGAAGCGGTTAACTGCGGAAGCCTCTCGCATACAATTTACAAATGGCCATGTCCGCTCTTACATCAAAAATAAGTCTTGACTAATCTGACAAACACCGACCAACACTTCTCAGACACTCCATGACCCGACAAATGCTGATAGAACATTCAAAAGTAGCGTCAACCAACAGCAAGTGGTCAAGCATGCTTGTTGGTGTTGGTTGGTGTCTGTCAGTCCGGAGTTCATTAGCGTTATACCAATCAAATTTTAGGACAGGAACTAACTTTTGTATAACAGCATTTGAACTACAGAACATTTTTGCTGTTCTTTCACAGCACCTCAATGTCATTTAAACACTGTTCTGCACACCTACATTCAGATATGTCAATCCTCTAAAACACTGTTATTATGGGCAATTAGGTGGGTTGTTTTTTGTGAGGTCGTACAGGTGAACTTCAGTTTTTAAGTTAAATTGTTTTTTAAAAATGCCAAAGGCAAAGGATACTTGTATATCTCAGCTTCATGTTTCTTCCTTCCTTTCATCTTTCCCCCTCTTTAAAGCAGAAGCGCTGTTGTTAGGGTGTGGGTACGGCAGACTGTTTGTTACGGAATGTCTCAAAAAATGCCAACATGCCCTTCTTCACGCTGGGAGGGGCCATTTTGGAAGACGTGTGTCCTTGGAGTCGGAGCGGGAAGCTGGAGCCGTCCATGGAGTTGGCTCGTTTGACTTTGGAGCCGGCCCGCCACATTTTGGGCCTCATTGGAGGAGTTTGTGCAACCAAACACTTCTGGTATTGGACCTGAAGGGGGCAGCAGACATTTAGAAAGCGTGAACTATTTTGCATTGACTTCTATGAAACTATGACTTAAGTGTGGGACATTTTGTGATGGGTTGAAAGTCAAATAAATGAAGTATTGCCTCACCATGCATGCAGCCTGAACTGCCTCAGAGATGATCCCAGCATCGGGCTCACACCAGAACACATGGCACTCAAAGCGCTGGGTTCCAGCATCCACTATGACTGCAAAAGTGTGTGTGTCATGACCCACACCTAGGAAAGTTAAGTAACGTACTTGGCATTCCCAAAATGGGTCATCTCCATCCTGAAATAAAGCAAGAGGGGAAAGTAAAGTGAAGAAAACATACTACTCATTCAATTACTGCAGTACATAGCAAATATACTATGAGAAGTATGCAAAGAGCATACTGCACTGGTCACTGTAGGCTACCCAAAAATGAAGTGCACTCTACTTGACTTTCCATTTCATGTGTAATGAACTTTTCATGTGTGATCATTTATTTTAAACTCCCAAAAGTTGTCCCAAAAAAGTACATTTTGTACTTGGTGAAATCACATTCACTCAGGTGGTATACATGAATTTTTTTTTATGTTAAGCTAGGTAGTATATACTCTCACCTCTCCTCTCCATAAAGACAGAAATTTATCTGACACATGGATGACTATCGGCTCCCACTCATCTCTGTCTCTGGAGTGGATGATACTCTCAATAGCTCTGTTCAACACTTCCATTCCTGTCAGCATAAACATGAAAAACACATTAACCACAAACCCATACAAAACATCCCTAGCAGGTCCCTGTGATTTTGCTAAGACATGTTCATGGATCAACATATTTTCCTGATCCTGGAACAACATTCCTGTCCAAAAAATGTAATCTTAACCCTATCCCCACACCTAAATCTACCCATACCCATAAGTTATCCCTAAAAACAGAGGGAAATGGCGTAGAAGCATTTGATGTAGAAGCACCTAAACATGATGGTCGTAAGCCTAAACTTGACATAAACTGTAAACTTGATTGATCCTCAAATCTGATTGGATTGGTTGATTGGAGTGTTGTTCCAGGACCAACAAACATTTTGTACATTTTGCACTTGGTGGAATCACATTCACTTTTTTTTATGTTTAAAGGGATACTCCACTTTTATTTGGAAATAGGCTCATTTTACAACTCCCCCAGAGTTAAACAGTTGGGTTTTATCGTTTTCGAATCCATTCAGCCGATTTTCTGATATTTAGAAGAATATCAGTAACCAGGCAGTTTTTGGTCTCATTGACTTCCATAGTATATTTTTTCCCTACTATGGAAGTCAATGAGACCAGAAACTGTCTGGTTACTGTTATTCTTCTAAATATCAGAAAATCGGCTGAGTGGATTTGAAAACGGTAAAACTCAAATGTTTAACCCTGAGGGAGTTGTAAAATGAACCTATTTCCAAGAAAAATGTGGAGTATTCCTTTAAGCTAGGGTTTCTTGAGAGATTCTGATCTCTTAAAACTGTAACAACACAACATAAACCGAACATAAAGTCCAGGCCTAGTCCTCTCTCATCCTTCACTGTCATCACTCCTCCTTTTATCCTTGCAGAGCTCCTCAGTGGGAGTCGAGACCGAGCTCATTAGCACTCGCGCCACCGGTCTCACACCGTTCCCACGGCTCTCAGCCTGCTACAATGGGATATATGCACGCATAAGTTCCGCATTTGACGCAAGGATGCTCGTCCAATTCCCGTTGTGGAGATTAAAGCGGAGGAAAACCGAGAAAAACAGGTTTATTACTTCCAAATTTACTGTCCTCCCGTCTTTGAATCGAAACGTACATACGTTTAGATGTAATTTTAAATATAGTTATGTTTATTTAATACATTTTTTCAAAAGAAGCATAAACACAACGAGGGGTGTCTGTTTTATCTGTTTTTGTGACTAACGTTTCTTTAGTATAACCATGGAGTATAAAATTCAATATAAATTCTCGGTATTGCATTGGACTCTACGATCGGCGGAAGTTATCGAGCATCCTTACACCTTCACCGGAAATACCGCCGTGCATAGAGCCCATTCTCTGAATGGCCCAAATCACACTCACCCATTGCTCTGGATACAGGCAGGTTTCCAATGTACTCCACCTCAAACTTCTGCACCCTCTGCCTCACTGATTCCAAAAAGTCAACTGGAAAGCATACATCAAATAGTCTCATGAAAGAATACATTTTGCAGCTGACTCATCGTCTCATCCTATTAATTTGCTTTAAAAGATCCCACTTTCTCAAAAAGGCAGGTGTTTTACCTTGGAGGGGCAAGTCCTCTGGGGAGATACTCTCCATGGTGAGAGAACGGGCCATTGAGGGCTGCTTCACCGCCTTCTCTGCCATGATCTGTGGAAACAAACCACCATCTTTGAAATATGGATATTTTTGACAATATGCTAATGTTAATGATGACAATAGATTTATCAGGATCATGCGATTTTACCTTGGAGCACATCTCATGCAGGGCAGATGCGATGGTCTTGGCTGGAGCATTGCAGCGGAACACGTGGCACTTGAGCATGCAGGTGTCTTTATCGCTGGCCACAAAGGCAAAGTCCCTACGGATGCCAGGAGAACGGAGTAAATACTCATCACAGTGCTTATTCTAACAGCCTGAGAGAAACACTAAACATAATATCCACATTAAAATGTTATATATATAATCAGTCATATATGGTCATGAAAAGAATGGTTAATGTTATTTTGTTTTAAAATAATTACATTTTTAGTAGGGCTATCAAACGATTAATCACGTTTAATCGCATCCAAAATAAAAGTTGGTGTTTACATAATATATGTGGGTGCACTGTGTATAATTATTTTATATATGAAGAGTTCAGATGCAAAAGCCTCTAAGTGCCATTTGAAATGTTCTTCTAAAATGATCATTTTTATCAAGCTTGTATATTTAAGTTCAGTAATTTCACTTAAATGGCAATGAAGATTACCTATTAGTTGTCATTTAAGTGAAATTACTGAACTTAAATATACAAGCTTGATAAAAATGGTCATTTTAGAAGAAAATTTCAAATGGCACTTAGAGGCTTTTGCATCTGAACTCTTCATATATATATATATATATATATATATATACGTACATACACACACATGCTTGTATATATTTAAGAAATATTTTAATGTATTTACTGTATATAGATTTATATATAATTTATATTATTTATAAATATAAATATTTTATATATAAATATTTTTTTTCTTAAATATACATGCATGTGTATGGATTTATATATATATATACACACAAAATAATTATACACAGTGCACCCACATATATTATGTAAACACAAACTACTATCTCGTGGCCACAAGATACTAACTCGTAGCGTCAAGATAAGTAACTCGTGGCCTCAAGATACTATCGTGACTTGAGGCCACGAGATAGTATCTTGAGGCCACGAGTTGCTATCTTGAGGCCACGAGAAGATAGTACGAAATTACTATCTTAATTTCTTTTTGCCAAAGTGGGACTAAGGGGGCTCCGTACCTTTAAGGCTAGGGCTAAAATAAAAATAGGACAAAAACCATTGCAAGCAGAACATGACAACAGCCAGCTGGGTATTTTAAAGTGATGCTAAACCAACTCTCATCCTTAATTGTTCTTCACTAAATCTCTTCACATTAACCTCAGAAAGTCTCTCTTAGCCGACTGTTCGCGGCAATATCGGGTGTCAATGTTCTATAAATACAATCGATCGGCATTTCTGGGCAGTATGATTTTCCAATTCTATATGCAATGCAACGGTTCAAGCCCTCTGATTCTTCAATACCTAAAGCTGCATGCTCTGGCTTCTTCAAAGAGAATGTTTTATTCATGAATATTGCATTGGAGAAATGTAGAGCAGTGGTGCTTCATACGGCGTGCAGCTCAAGCTCACACAGCATACTGATGCTTGCGAAATCCAGCACTCGTTTACTCTCAACTACATGTGAGTCAAACAGAATAACAGATGAGTTTGTCTGGTTAGAAAAGAGACAGATGGAAACCTTCATTGTGTGAATATAGTCATCTCAGTGATGAAAGAGCTCAGGGTTCACTAGTACACTTAGTCAGGGTCTATTTTTGGATTTGTGATCTGAGCACATTTTCACAATATGAATAAGGCGTACAGGCGATGTCATTGGCACATGCCAACATGCTCTAGTGATTGTCCCATTACAAACTAATCACACATTTGACAAAACCCCAAAATGTCATGAATACTGAGACTCTGATTGGTCCATCATTGCAGAATCATCTGCATTTATTGTTTGGGGAGGGACATGCGAAGCAAAGCGAACATTTCAATAAATGTATCATTGTCGGTTAATAAAAAAAAAAAAACGTTTTGGATTTAGTACAATTTGCACAACCTGAGATGCAGAGTAAAGAAATGAGAGAAAACATGGCTACTGAGGAGCACTACTTCACAACATCACGAGACATCACTGTTTTCTAGGTCTAATTGAAAAAAGAAAGTGCAGTTATTACCTGTCTCTGTTTTCACGAGTGGTGGTTTAAAAAAGAAAAAGGAAACAAAGGTTAATAATAGTTCAAATAATGCAAAAGAAGCGAGGAATATTTTAGCAAGCTATAGACCCTTGTGAAAAAGAAGTCAGGACCACTATCGTCAAATACGATTGACAGTTAGCACACAGTTTGGATTGCCGGTATGGTTCTGTTCTGGGCGAGAACAGCAAGAACAGAACAGAACCAACATGAATGTGTTGCAGATATCATTAATTAATAAAGATTTTAATGCACAACATAATTCAAGAATTTATTCTGATTCAAAGGGGAATCAGAATGCCAAATCCTGACTAGGCGAGAGGTGGTGCTGGGGATTGAGGAGGGTAATTCTCTCCTGAGAAACAGGATATCTGTTAATAATACTGAAGGAGCTTATATACTGTATGTATACAGTGATAGGCGTCATATTCCTATAGATAGGCGAGGATCAGCTGAGTGTCAACTGGTGTGTGAGCTTGACTAACGTGACCTGCCAGAACTGACCCTATGCTTAATTTTAGCATACTTTTAAAAACAGTACTTATTACAGAAATAATATACTTTAAAAGAGCATCCTGAATCATTTAAAATACATTAACTTGTATCGAATGACACTACAGTTAAATTTATAAATCAAGTACTTTCCATGTTCTTTAGTATGTGAGTCAACACATCAAAATAAGTGTATTTCACATTATCACAGAGTACTTAAACTTAATTAAAAAAAAACATTGTCATGAAAGTGTACTCTCTTTAAAGGAGTTGTTCACTTTTGAAAAAACTTTTGCTGATAATTTACTCACCCCCATGTCATCCAAGATGTCCATGTCTTTCTTTCTTCAGTCGAAAATAAATTAAGGTTTTTGATGAAAACATTCCAGGATTTTCTCCATATAATGGACTTCATTGGGAACCAAACGGTTCAAGGTCCAAAAGACACTTTCAGTGCAAACTGCAAACTGTTGAAAGGGCTTTAAATGATTTCAGACAATGAATAAGCGTCTTATGAAGTGAAACGATCGCTCATTTAATAAATAAATAACAAAGTTCAAGTTTTATGTGCACAGATGCTCGCTCTGTTGCTCTGTGACGCACATTTGTGACTCTCCTGTTCGAACTCGTTCATTAATATGAACGAATCTTTTTTCGTGTCATTTGGTTCATTCAACGAACGAAATGAACGAGTTAACTCGGGAAAAGATTCGTTCATTTTGACGAACGAGTTCGAACAGGAGAGTCACAAACGAGCATCACACCCTAACCCTAACCGAGCAAGGCAACCATTTGAGCTTATAAAACGTAATTATTTTTTTTTAAATGAGCGATCGTTTCGCTTGATAAGACCCTTATTCATCGTCTGGAATCGTTTAAAGCCCTTTGAAGCTGCACTGAAACTCTCATTTGGATCTTGAACTGTTTGTCCCCATTGAAGTCCATTATAAGGAGAAAAATCCTGGAATGTTTTCATCAAAAACCTTAATTTCTTTTCGACTGAAGAAAGAAAGACATGGACACCTTAGATGACATGGGGGTGAGTAAATTATCAGCAAAAGTTTTTTTAAAAGTGAACTACTCCTTATGTACATTATCTGCAAGTACAATTTTATACTTTTACATTTAATACAATTAAGTGCACTTGTTTTTCACAAAGGGAGCTACTCTTCTCTCTCAGCGTAAGCCAGTAATTTTATATTAATTTTTTATTTAGTAATTAAAGCTTTCAACAACACACAAATCCAAAACAAAAACAACACAGTCCATGCAAAACATTTCCTATTATAGCTTGGACTGCAAATAGTCATCATCAACGGCTCTTCGTTTTACAGGAAAACTGAAACTCGACTCGAGCTACACTGGGCTTCACTAGGCGTAAATTTTAAAAAAGCACTCTGTGTTCAAAAACCTGCCACTGCCCGTCGCTGAATGAGGAAATATGATGAACTGAAGGGCTGTACAGGCCATTTTTCATTTAGCGGGCTCATACATTTTCTGTTAAACTGTAGTGAATAGAGTCTCTGCAGAAATCCATATTTTTTCTGTGTAATAGCATTGAAAAGGAGAAAAACTGAGGAATTTTAGACCCAGAAATAGAAGAACGGTACAAGTCAGTCTACCTGCCATTGTTGCAGCCCACCCCCCATACACGGATGTTGATTATGGGCTGGCAATGGATGAGGCTGCGGTCCACAGGGTCCATAAGACTGAGAGTGTCCTTCTTGAGCACCATCATCATATCCTGACCCTGAACACACACACACGTATGCATTGAGTGGTTGCGACCTTCAGTAAGAGCTATGCTAACTGCGCTAACCTGAGGTGATTTAATAGAATTCAAACTGAATTGTAAAATAGCCTTATGAAAATTGCTAATGCAAATACCAAAACATATACTGTAACATTCAGCAGTATGTGGCAACAATGTGTTACAATGCTAGTAGTGCTATTACGCCAGTCTGAATGAATTCAACGGACCTCCAAGGACATTGGTAGGCCCTAGCTAAGCACATCTATTCTAAGTCACTTATGTACGAGTCTAGGCTGCTCTCACCTCTCCCCAGGCGCCAACTGCGTCCCGGCCCTCTGCTTTACTGTGAGAGAGCTGCTGGATGCAGTTGTTCACCGCCAGACTGCTCTTGCCAGGGGTCAGCTCTTCCTCTGGGATCTCAACCCAACCCAGAGAACGCACAGCAAAACACTGAAAGACAAATGACTTACTTACTTTAGTTTAGAGAGATAATATATGATGAAAAATATGTTGACACTTGTTGCTAAATCTATTGGCATTAATAGTGAGTTGGATCTCCCTAAACCTTTCCACTCTTTGTATTAACATGTAAAAATGTAAACATAGGTAATAAGGTATATAGTGAGATTTAAAGTCACATTAGGTCACACAAGTAAAGTTACTTATTCCTGGCCTAATCTTAAGCCTTGGCTGTAATACCGGGTCATAAAGTTATAATTAGGAATATATATATATATACCTGTTAAATATTATGTTTATTTAACAGAATACATATATATACCTGTTATGTTTGCGTTGTTGTGCTTAGAGTCATTTGTTTTATTTTTGATAACTGATAACATAATGAAACATGCCAAATTGTGCAGACTTAATTTGTTTAAATTGTGCAGACTTAATTGGCCAAGATGTCATATAAAGAAATTATGAAAACATGCAAAAACAACAATATGAATTATTGATTATTGAAGCGTTTTGTTCTTCCCTCATATTTAAAATATTTGTCATATTTTTATGGTTTAATCAGACTTTGTAGGGTTATTAAAAATCATCACTATTGGCTTCTACTGTAGTCACACAATTAAAAGAAATATTAAAAAAGTCACAAACAATCACAAGAAATAAAGTTATATTGTGATATTTAAAGTCTAAACTGAAATATAAAGTACCAAATGTCAGCCATCTAGTCGCACAATTACAAAAAATAAGGACACAATTTCAAGAAAAGTAATTCAGTGATATTTATCTAAATAGTTTTATTTTAATAATTTAATTAGATGGGGGCATTGCGTGCATTCAGTTCATGTTGACATTCTGGATAACATCCATTTCTATTACAGTTATTACAGGTAGGATGTTTTATAATGTCGTACGTCTGGGTTTCTTGCTTCTATCAAATATAACTCCCAGTACACATACAGTAATGATGACAAGCCCCCTGAAGCATCTTGGGATTTAGTTTATAATGTTTTGTACAGAGAATGCATCTATGACCCTTCCTAGGATCATTTTACACAGACTCAATAAAGCTGTGTCTTAAAATTGCATCCCTTGTGCTTTTAGAGGTCATAGCCCTGCACTTTCTACATGCACACACACTGAATCACTAAACATTCTCTGACTGATGCTCCTTTCCAACTCTGACCCTCAGTGGTTACCTCAGGATGTGCTTTATCTCAAGTGTGATATTTGTGGGTCACAGTGACTAACAGCAGAGAAAACAGTTATAAATTGTACATGTTGAACAGTATTAGGCCAGCACGCAGCATGATTCTACCTTGGAGTCGGGATCCATGTTGGCACAGAAATACTCTTCCTGCCAGGAGGGCCTGAAGCAGAGCAAGAGAGCACATCATTATGATAATGACCCATAATTAAATACTGGGCTCATTTCAGCAGACAAAAATAAATAGGAACACAGATTAAGTCTTGAGATGCTGAACACTTATTTTCCTGTTTGGAGTTCAACTGAAAGCTCTAGACAAGCCCATTTTGTCCTGTAAACAAGAAACAGCCCCTATAATTATCACTCTCAGCTTTGTCCAGAGCATTTTGAGCATACAGAGGTCCCGCAGAGGAAAATTATATAGAAAAGAGCTATAAAATAGAAAGTCCTTTATTGAGGACTTTGTCTCAGTGGAATTAATAATTGATTACGCTTATTAATAAATTAAAAATGGCAATCAGGTGTCTGAACTTAACAGTCCCTCCAGAAAAACGCGATTATGCGATCGCTGAATTCAATGCAAAATCAGCCAAAGTCCGCATATTTATGCGGGGGCCACATTTTTTCAAATACGCCTCACTTTCGCCGCATAAATTGCCGATTTCCGTGCAAAATATGCGGGGTTTGCATAATTTCATAATCCTCGCATTTTCGTTGCAAAAAAAAAAAAAAGTCACATGTATCTTAGCAGAAAGTTGAAAAATGTTGCGTTTGCTTCACATAAGAGCAGCCATTTCCCCCTGTTTCCATGGGAACGTTATCAAGTGACGCAATTAAGCGACGCCAGACAGACTCACGGAGGCGATTGACATCTCACAAATCCAACTCGTATAACTGTCTGTCGAACGTTCTACTGTCACATTGTTACTTAATAAACAACATAAGATAAAAGTAGTAGCATCAAACAGAAATTACCCGCACACATGGGGTGTTCGACAGTTCAACAGGGAGCGCGCAGCTCTTAAAGGGGCCACACCTTATTTACACTCTTACAGTCTGAAATAAAACAAGATGAGAAATTAAATATTCCCAGCACTTTCTATGATGTAGTATGCTTGCTTATCAAAGGAAGTAATAAGAAATGACTCTTATATTAACAGGATGTTGGGGGAATCACTTTTTTTCTCTTTTTCATCAAACCGCAATTTTTGCAAGTTCCCTCAATTTTTGTAAATTCCAGCAATTTCATCGCATAAAATTGCATAAATATCCCACATATTCCATCGCATTTTTAAAGAAAACTGGCCGCATAATCAATCAATTTTTGCCCGCAACAATCACAAAAAAAAACTCAGTGTTTTTCTGGAAGGACTGAATACTATTATGGTAAATGTTAAATATAAATCTCAAATTTTTTCACAAATTTTTGGAAATTACCACCACAAAATCAGTCATTTTGATCGCAAAAATCACACAAAAAATCGTGAAATCCTGGAGGGACTGACTTAAAGCCAGAGTATAATTTTGTGCTCTGTTGTGTTATGCCGCCTCGAGGTGCTGACAATATATGTGAAGGTAATTGCATTCCCTGTAGCTGTCAACAATTCCCAAACAATAATACAATCACAGCCGAACAAAGTCATTGGAAAGGTCAGTCAATGACATGATACATAAATTTGTTCACAGTATTTTGTCCTTCCCTGGCAAAGACCACGTTTTGTACTACAAAATGTGGAGAAACTCTCCTCAGTGTTCATAATTCCCCAGGTGAGTGCTCGCTTATGTTCAAGCATTAGCGTGACTGGGGCCTCGTGGCCTGATATCAGAGTGTTTGGAGGGTAGCCAAAGCTAAAGTTTAGCACTCCGTCCCACAGTCGTAAAGGCCACACCTGAGTGGCTGTCTAAAGACATCTGTTCAGGTATTAACATCTTCAGTTATAGCAATGTTTGTCCAATTAGACGTCTAAAGGCTTCAATAGTGGGGTAAACAAATGAGGGAACGAATGGAAAGAAAATGTGCTTTTTCATCTCCAGAGCACCAGAAGGAGAATTTGGCTTAACTTGTATGTGTGTGTTTGGCTGCTAAGCTGTGCCAGTGTTTCATTTGCATCAAGAATGCTAATTGACACACTCATGGGTAATGTGTTACTACACCCAACACATTAAAACAATCGCGATAATTTAGGTGAAGACACATTTTTAACTCTGGCCACTGGTTTTATTTTTAATTTAGACATCAACCTTCTTATAACTAATATTTGATCTATTCATTATAAACAATATAACAAAGACATTCTTCAAATGAAAATGTCTAATTAAATCGATTTAACAGTCTGTAAATGTTTATAGCGACCCGATGTATGTAATATTGTAAGTATTAACCCTTACAAGTTCAAAAAGGTAATGAAATATTTATTTTTATTTTTTTGTAATTGTGATTGTGAGAGTTTTATGCTATTGTGCTAGTTAGATCTATCTGTGTTAGATTTAGATCCGGGTCGATGATTGGCAAAACATGTATTTAAAGGTGTAGTTCACTTTAAAAAAAAAAAGTTTGCTGATAGTTTACTCATCCCCATGTCATCCAAGATGTCCATTTCTTTCTTTCTTCAGTTCAGTTGAAAAGAATATAAGGTTTATGATGAAAACATTCCAGGATTTTCTCCATATAATGGACTTCAGTGGGAACCAAACGGTTCAAGGTCCAAATGAGAGTTTCAGTGCAAACTGCAAACTGTTTAAGGGGCTTTAAACGATTCCAGACGATGAATTAAGGGTCTTATCAAGCGAAACGATCGCTTATTTAAAAAATAAATAAAAAAGTTTAAGTTTTATAATCACAAATGCTCGCCTTGCTCTGTTCTGTGATGAGGGTTCGTGACTCTCCTGTTCGAAATCTTTTTTCGAGTCATGACTCGAAGGGTCGTAGATAAGTCAATTATTTATCATCTGGTGTCGTTTAAAGCCCTTTGAAGCTGCACTGAAACTCTCATTTGGACCTTGAACCGTTTGGTTCCCAATGAAGTCCATTATATTGAGAAAATCCTGGAACGTTTTCATCAAAAACCTTAATTTCTTTTCGACTGAAGAAAGAAAGACATGGACATCTTGGATGACATGGTGGTGAGTAAATTATCAGCAAAAGTGTTTTTTAAAAGTGAACTACTCCTTTAAGGGTTAACAAAATATTTTGTGGCTTGGTGAATGTCTTCTCAGGGGGAGACTTAATGACTTTTATCAAATGTGTGCACATAAATGGAAATTGTTTATTGCACTGCGCTATGGAATACTTGATTCAAAAACATGGCATGGTGTGATTACAAAAACGGACTGATATAACTGCCCACAGGGAAACGATATAGCCTAGACGTTTTTCTTTCATACTTCTATTTTTTTCTAATTTAAGTTTAAACTTAAGCTCAGATGTTTCTCCTCGAATTCCTTAGGAGACATAAAAATGGACACGAATGAGACAGTTAGCATATAATAACAGTAATTACTGGGGTATTTTTTTCACAAGAAAAATCTGAGATGCAGGAGATTATATTAAAAAACTGCTTTCGATTTACTTTAATTGCTGTCGGAGATTTTTTATAAGATCTAATTAGTGATTTTCCTTTACTACAGGCTATCAAAAAAGGTGTGTAATAAGTGGAATATTATACAATCAGCCAGTCATTATTCTGGAACAACATTTCAGTCAAACAACCCCTTGTATCCTAACCCTAATGGCTGATAACAAGACTATTATCCTAATCCTAATGAAATCATTTTATTTTAACAAGGATGTTCCAAGAACATCCAAGAGCATCTCCAACTTGTTTAAATCATATTGAGCTTCACACACTTTGGTTCGCATGTTTTAATGTCTAGATTCATAGAAACATCTCAGCGTATGTGTGACTCCCTCACCTTTCGCTCAGCGAGGGTAGCGGGTTTTCAGTCAGTCTTCCTCTTGAATCCCGCCTACCATCCACTGCAGTCTGAAGACATCAAGTGTGGAGATGTGATGACTGACAGAAACACACACAGAGCCCCCCACACACACACAGATCAGAGTATCTCACCTTGATCTGGCTGGCAGTGATGCCGTTAATGGTGTTTTGTTCCTCCTCTGCGCTGTAGGAGGGATGCTGCCATTGAGTGGTGCCCGTGGGCACGTGCCAGTAATAGGTGCCAGTGCTGTCACGTATGGTGCGCCATCCGGGAGGAAGATCCGAATCCAGCTCCAGACTCTGATCATTCCAGATGTTATCTGCAAAGAGAATGGATTACTGGATTAATCCGTACCTGAAATAAAATGTTATAAACATTTCACATGCTAGTTTGAGGGCAGCATGCAAGATTCTTGTAAATGTGCCATGTTACAATTCCCAACAGAGAGCAAACAGCCCTCAAACACACACACACACACTGGGGTGAGGTCACTGCAGTGATGGGCTCAGATTTACTCATGAGAGACAGACCAGGCCCTAATCTGCCCACATGACACAGCCTAAAATGAGGTCAAATCTAAAAGCAGCTCTGTCTTATTAAAAAAGAGCTGGACTAATGTTCATTTGTATTATATCTTATCTATCACCCTGTCCCTCTCACACAAACATTTCCCATATGTAACTTCTGTATCTGTTATCGGATTTTATTATGCCATGCCTTTTTAATATTATTACAAATTGTATTTATTAATACTTTACAATAAGGTTTCATGTGTTATTAGTAAACGACATTAGTTCACATGAACTAACGATAAACAATACACATATGGGGTTTATTAATCTTGGGTAATGCTTTCAACATTTACTAATACATTATTAAAATCAAAAGTTGTCTCTGTTAACACTAGTTAACGCACTGTTAACTAACATTAACAAACAATTAGACAATTAGAGCTGTAAAAATATATTGTTCAAAGTTAGGTCATGTTAACTAACACATTAACTAATGTAAACAAATGAGACCTTATTGTTAAGTGTTACAGATTATTTTTGTTAATCTGCATTTTTTATTATGTGAATAACCCTATTATTAGCTTTACATGCTTGTTCAACTCAGCAAAAACACATTTTCACAGAATTGGAATGACTGTCATTTGCAAAGGTGGGCACATTGCTTGCCATCTTTTATTTTATTAAATAGTATTAAATAATTGTATTATGTTGTCAGCTAACAATAAGTGTCTAGTGTCTGTCACACACACACACACGCAGATTTGCTTGTTCTTAGTTTCTGTTTTCTTGGGCTATGTTTACACGGAAACGATACTGAAGAGAAAACGCAAAAGTGGCGTTGCGTTATCACTTTTTTATTCTGCGTTTAGAAGAGTGTTTTGGGTGGGCAATCCGCGTGCAAATGGTGACGCAAAAGTGTGTGAAATTCAATGTAGTATGCACTCCAGACGGTGGCGATGTGAAGCACTGCCACACAACAACACCAAGTTCGCGCGCCTGCGTACAACCTTCACTGTCAAGCAGACTTTTGAGTTTTTACCCTTTACATGGGAACGCGTCGGTGGAGCGTTTTTAACATTTCCACTCTGGAGGGTGGTTTCACTTTTTTTTGCGTTTTTAAGCCCCCAAAACGCCGTCGCCGTGTAAACGAAAGGCACATCCGATGAAATATTTTTACGTTTTCACCCGGAACCATTCTCGTGTAAACAGGGCCTTCTGGACTTTCAGTTTGTGTTAAAAAAAGTATTTTTTCCCGCCAGTCGTCAGTTGTCATCACACCAGTTCGTTATCATCTCATCACAGTGTCGCATAAAGTCAAACCACCATCAGATAACTAAAATAATGAAATTAATATGACCTAAACAACATAAAATGTAACACTAAAGACCCTAATCGACATAAATAGCAAACAAACAAAAAAAAAACAATGTAAATAAAATATAATCAGATGTGAATGTGATGCATCATGTAGGGACCTCAAGGAATGTCCTTGTTTTGTTTTTCACTGTAAAATATAAGGCGACTAAATAAAAAAAAAACTAAATTTAACAATATTTTACTGTAATATTGTATTTTCATGTTGAATATTACACAATTTAATACATAGTAATTCATCAACCAAACATTTGACAGTACTGTTAGAACCAATGGGCAGGTTTTAACTATAGCATTTTCACATTCTTTTCTCGGTAAAATGACAGCATTTTTACAGTGTTCATGTATGTCAAAGACCTGTCACGTCTCTGATTTAGAGCCTGAGATAAAGGCATATAGGGCGACTGGCAGAACAGCAAGCGAGAAAGAGCAGCTCTGTCTGCTGAATTATATGTGTCTGAATTTATCTCTAGCCTGAGAGAATCATTTAACACAATGCATCTGGAGAGCCCTGTCCACTCTCACTAAAAAACACAATGCGGGAGGCTGGAGGGGACGTTTGGGGAGAAAACAAGACTATAAGCGTGTGTGCGTGTTACTAGAACTGGGTCAGTAGTGAGACGAGATTGCCTGGGCACGGGTATAAGAGTTGCCTCTGACACTGACAGTCTCATAGTGACATTTCACAAATGACATTTGCACATTCGTTTAAAATGTTGATTCGTTAACAATGCCCCTTTGCACTAGAGTTTTACACACATCAGTACGAGTGTTTGGTATACAAATGATTTCTTGTGAGCTGTGCTTGACAATAGATATTGGATCTTTCTAACGCACATTATGCTGAACAGCTGATCTGTGAGTTCTCAGCATGCATTGCAACATGAATAAATTATGCAGATATGGATACAGGCTTATTGTTTGGTTGTTTGCTGACTTTATTTATGCAGCTGTTGTTGTTTTTATCCTCTCTGTTTGTATTTGTGTAGTAGTTTACTTTTAAAAAAACTTTTGCTGATAATTTACTCACCCCCATGTCATCCAAGATGTCCATGTCTTTCTTTCTTCAGTCGAAAAGAAATTAAGGTTTTTGATGAAAACATTCCAGGATTTTTCTCCATATAATGGACTTCAATGGGAACCAAACGGTTCAAGGTCTAAAAGACACTTTCAATATAAACGGCAAACTGTTCAAAGGGCTTTAAACGATTTCAGACAATGAATCAAGTCTTATCAAGTGAAACGATTGCTCTTTTAATAAATAAATAACAAAGTTTAAGTTTTATAAGCTAAAATGGTCACCTTGCTTTGTTCTGTGATGCGCGTTCGTGACTCTCCTGTTCGAACTCATTTATCAAAATGAACGAATATTTTTTCTTGTCATTTGGTTCATTCAACGAACGAAATGAATGAGTTGACTCTGGAAAAGATTCTTTCATTTTGATGAACGAGTTCGAATAGGAGAGTCACGAACGCGCATCACAGAATAGAGCAAGGCGACCATTTGAGCTTATGAATCTTAATTTTTTTTTTTTTAAATGAGCAATCATTTCACTTGATAAGGCCCTTGTTCATTGTCTGGAATCATTTAAAACCCTTTGAACAGTTTGCAGTTTGCACTGAAACTGTCTTTTGGACCTTGAACCGTTTGGTTCCCATTGAACTCCATTATATGGAGAAAAATCCTGGAATGTTTTCATCAAAAACCTTAATTTTTTTTCGACTGAAGAAAGAAAGACATGGACATCTTGGATGACATGGGGGTGAGTAAATTATCAGCAAAAGTTTTTTTTAAAAGTGAACTACTCCTTTTAGAGCTTTTTTTTTTTTTTTTTACAATGCACACAATTGTGATTTTAAACTCAAAAATGACTGTGTGGTGTATGTTTTCTGAGAGTGTGTGATATAAACAGGACTGACAGGGCACTAAGTGAAGAAGAGAAGAGGATGTGCTTTCACTTAGCTTTGCTTTCAACAGATTTCTGAGCTTGGAGAGTCCTGTTAAAGCCACAATAATCTTACAACACAAAGGACTGTGGGTTTACCCTCTAAACCAACACCTCAAATCTACTTCAATCCAATTAAACATGTTACTAAATGACCATTTTTACACCTATAAGCTGATTTATCTAATGGCTTAGACTGTTATCAGGGTTCGTACTGATTTTTTTCGAGTGAAATTCAAGTCGTTTTCAAGCAGTGGCAGCATATAAACGTCTTTGTGAATGTTTGTGTGTCTGCGGCCCTCCCAAGAGATCATCAATCATGTCCAGATCGAACTCCTCTTTTTCACAAGCCACCCCTCGCCTCCGCTCCTGACAGGCCATAATAATCGCACTGTGTTACCATGACATTTTTAGTGTTTTGGGCTGGCTACAGTAGCTGTGCTGTCAGCGGAAATAAAACACAGGCAGAAAAAGGCTGAAGGAAGAATAAAGGTTATCCTCAGTCTAATTCTGGTCCACATTCAGTGCACCTGTACTGATGTCTTCTTACTGTCTGTGTTTGGAGCTGCAGGCGGTTTTAATAAAAGTGCAATGAGTGGATGCATGCTGAAACGCAGATGCCTCACTTGTTTCAGGCTCTGGGGCAGGTAGATGAATATTAATGGATATTCCAAGAGGAAATATTATACCTGCAGCATAATATACACACATTATATTACATGATACATCATGTCTGCAGACATACGAATCTTAAATGCAAGTCTGTGGTTTCAAGAAAAAGTGTGGGTTATGAACTCCTAATGGTATAGTGAGACACGGCATCACTTCCTGTAATTGTCACAGCTTTTCGCACGTAGGTGGTGCCGCAGTTCCCATCACGCACCCACTAACAACTTCAAGGCTATGTCATGGGGACGAAGCGATAACAACAGATTGGGGGGTGGAGGGGTTGAGAAGAGGATGTTTGTGAATTATTGATGATCTCCTGAGAAAACCTGCACTGCATGATCCAGTCCCTATAGAAACTGTTACATAATGATTGTGTCCAATATGGTGCAAGAAAACCTAGTTAGTGGCACCATGTTGACAAAGTCTGACATTAATACATGCTCTTGGCACTCTGCATCTCAGAGTTTAATGTTTGAGTACATTTGCTTGCCTGCGCACAATGCTAGTTCTGGGTGGTTGCCATATTGCTAAACAGTTTAAAGCATATTGCTGTCATGTTATTGCATTTGCTAGGGTGTTCTGGGTGATTGCTAGGGTGTTGTAAAGTGGCTGCTTCCAAAAATAGTCTTATAGTCTCTATGGTATGCATAAAGTCTTAGAAAAGTAATCACACCTCTCCTCAACACGACATATGAGTTGGCGTTAAACCTGTTTATGCAATACTTGCAATTCAAGCACCACAAATGTTTGACGTTATTCCAGAAAACCACTTGAATAGTAAAGAAGACACATAATAACTTGACACCCAGATACATTTG